CCACAGGCCTCGGGTTGTTTCAGCTCACATTTTCCTCTCCTCACATGTGAAGACATCACATCACGATGGCTGACTGAGTCCTACAGTTAATATGGGTGCACGGGTCCATAATGGTACATTGTAAGTGAATGTCTCAGGGTAGACAGCAATAATAATTAGCTGTCATGATTTGAAAAAAGGATAATCCATGCCATTGAGTTAACAATCACTCACACAACACACATGGATTTAACTAATCTTAATTTGGAGAAAAATAACAATTCTAAATATATCAAATAGCCTATTTCATGGCAACCTGCAGCGGTGTTTATCTCTGGCTTCCAGCACATACGAGTTATTTAGTTTCTCTCACTGGCAGTTTTACCATTCAAAAGCCTGAAATGAACATTCATGGAGCAGAGGTTGCAGTTAAAACCTGCTTCTGACAGGGAGCCTTTTTTCACGATGCACATCTAGTTCAAGTACATAATGTATGGAGCCCAGCACTGGCGGCCAGGACAGGATGAACAAGGAATTCCAATCAACCCTCTCTCCTTCCCTAGCACCATCTTTGCAGAAATTAGCTACGCTGTCTTCAAGAACCTCTGCTGCTCACGTGGCTATCTGTCCATGAGGGTACATTGTCCTGACATTGTGGACCAGCCAGTGAAGCTGATGAAAGTCTGGTCCAAGTGGTGCCTGTCCCCATAGAGGTGCCGGGGTTCTCTGAAACCATACAGCATTAAAAACAAGCTGACTGATACTTCTTCTTTAATCTGCATCATTTCAGAGAGCCCTGCTAACAAACAGCCTGCTGGCCTGGGAGCCCAGAAGTGCCATGAGGAGGACAGGAAATACCATCAATCAAAGGACAGCAGGAGCCACCTCCCTGAGGCCTTCTTTAGCCAGGACAGGTCAGTTAGTAAGGCCATGGATCTGATAAATATGAAAGATTAAAAAAAAAATATAAAATACAATAGTGGTGTAATTTTTTTCCAAAATACCTGCCAGCAGTGAAGTGAAAGAAGCAGGGACTGAAAACTCCTAACCAACTCATTGGGCCGGCTGTCTTTTGCTGTGCAACAATCTGGTACATCTGTTTGATACTATCACACACTCTGTACAAGAGACAGAAATTATTTTCAAATAGGTCAGCCAATTTGAAAAGAAGATAAAAACTTTACAGGACAGACTGCTCCTAAGCAAGTCACATCCTCTCAGCACCAGCTAACATGCTACCACACACTTTACAAACAGTGGTAACTAAATGAAAGTGCCTTGAAAAGGTTGGATTTGCAAGTTACCAGCCAGGAAAAGATGTCAGATTTTATTATCAGAAAGTCTTTAACAGTTGATTGCAGAGATAAAGTTGCCTTTGTCTCTACTGATACCTAGAAATGTCAGTTGAAGATTTGGGTTGCATGCATGCAAATTCTTGTAGACTCCTAAGCTGTGACTGCCTTCCTGGGAGTGGCACAAGGTCTGCTGTGTGGTCAAGAGGCATTCAGTGACCAGAGCAAGTGGAGTTACTGAGAAAGAAAGAAAGGCAAGAAAGAGAGGAAGAAAGACCTCAGGACTCCAGAGGACCATGCACCAGGGTGAACACTCGGCATGGTGCTGCATCCCAACATCCTTATGCCCAGAAGGAAGAGAGCTGCAATGGCAGAGCCAAGCTTAGCACTTGACGTACCCTTACTGCACTCAGCCATAGGAAGCTGTAAGGTTTGGCGGCTTAGTCACACTGCAGAAGGCCACACAAACCATTTTGACCAAACAAGAAGGTCTACGAAAATAACACAAGATCAAGGAGAGGAGCTGAAACCTATTTGAGGGCAGCAGTGGTGGCAGCATATTTCAGCAAGCTGGAGTGGCTAGTGGGTGATTTCTGGTTTCCCTCTTCAAATATAAAGACTCAATTATCTTTGAACAGCTTGCTTTACACATGAATTGACACATTTATTTTACAATAAATAACTGAAAGTTATCTATGTTTCCTTTACTGTTAATCTACACAAAGAAATAATAAACAGAGCTTGTCTACAAAAATGCAACTACTGCAGTCCTCAGAATTCAATTAAGCTAAAATAATTAATGCTTCCACCATATTAAATTACTTTACACATTTGAGCCACTGAAGGTTTTTTTTTTTTATTATTCTTTAATCTTTTTCTCCTTTTTATTTAACAAAAAAAAAAAAAGTTAGTTTTAAAGTGGGGGGGGCTGGCTAGGAGTGGGGGAAAAGAGCATGATTTGCTGCTAAAATGTAATGGTCTCCTTTAGCTGACACAGCATGTAGAGTGTTTTGTGCCTTTGATTAAAATAACATTTTAAATGCTTTGAACAAACATATCTCCCCATACTTCTAAGGGATTATTTTACATATTTCTTGGTGGAATAAAGAAATTCATTCTTCCTGTCGCAGTACAGAAAGGCTAAGAATATCTTTCGTCACATATAAAGTAAAAATACTGTAGGCTGTTGCATTATTAAAAAAAAAAAAATAAAGGGAGGGGGTGGCGGGGTGGGAGAAAGCTGCCTTAGAGATTAAGTTTCCCTTTTATGAAATCGTATTTAGTCTCTTTTTTTAACAAATCTAACAACAATGCTCTACAGCCGCTCACTGGGAAATACCTTTAATGTTAAATGCAGATTCTGATTTTCTTGGCTAATGCAGAAAGCCTTTCTATTGAAATATAAATAAGGGGTTTGGTATATCCCACTAAAGCCTTTCCAGTGAATGACTTCTGTGGGTTTTTCATGGCTACCCTCCATGGCTGTAATGTGAGGCTTTTATCCTACTATTGAAAACTATCCGCTGCTATTAAAAAAAAAATATGGAAGGACACTGCACCTTTTTATCTTGGAGCTGGGCTCCTAATTGAGAAAGCATTATTACTGCACTGTTTAGTGGATGTCCCTATCTCCATGCACTGCTGAGAAAATGCCAATCAAATGATAAACCCTTTTATTTTTCTCCATTCAAAATCTCTCCTACATATTTTCATTTGATACTGAGTTTAGTCTGAAAGAGATTAGGTGCTCCAGATTGCCTTTTAAATTTATTCTTTTTAAATGCCTTTTCCACACGTGAACATCCCCTTCACCCCTCCCCCAGCAGATTTTCTGCATGGCAAAAGAGTTAGCTATATTGATGCTGACCCCCGGTAGCTGGGATGGGACAGCACCCTCTGCACTGGGTATAACATTGACGTATTTCACTGTGGACTAAACTCAGGCACAGATTAGGAAAAGATGAGATCTGGACTGAATGACAACATAGGTCTCTTGGACCAACCTTAGTAAGCACTGGGCACCTTCTGCAAGGGGCTGAGCAGCATCAGCTTGCACAACAGCTATTGAGAGTGCTCAGCACAATTCAGAAGGCCTTCAGCAGACTGGAGGAGAAGATCCTGAGTACTTCTTTTCTGTTCCCACCAAATGGAAAGGAAATCTAGCCTTCAAAGCTGCTACACCATGAGGCAGTCATGTCTGCCAAGAAATGCATTCACAACTGCAAAAGGATGAGGAAAGCTGAAAAAGGATGGGGAAAGCTGAAAAAGGATGGGGAAAGCTGAAAAAGGATGAGGAAAGGATGGGGTCAAGGATGTAAGCAACCCTACTGTTGCTTACAACACTGCAGCACAGGCTGACACAGCTAATGGCCCCAAAGCTACCAGCTGCCCCAAGCCAAGATGGTGACTGCACCCAAAAAATTCCTAGAAGACAACAAGGTAGTAAATGGGTGGCATGTGCCTTCTCATAAGAGACAAATCACGTGGAGATCTGAAGACTGCAGCAGTTCCTTACTTGTATGATGGCCAAGCCCACTAGAGACGCTGCAGACTGACTCAGAGACCTCCGATGCTAAAAGCTGGAGTCTCTTAAGCTTCAATTGTAAAGATAGGAGCCTCTCACAAGTCTTCTGGGGATCCCCTCATGGGAGCATCTCTACTACGGGCAGGATCCTGAACTGTCAGCTCTAATCCCATAGGACAATTCCTAGAAAATCTGGGACAGTAGTAGCAAAGAAATTGCCACAGGTCTTCTGTATGGGATACAGTCAAATTGAACAAAAATAGGCCCATCTGAGGGGAGATCCTCCTGTGTAATATAAAATCCCCACTCGCTAGCAGGGAGCAGAGCCTTCCTTTCACTGCTGCAGAGGAGCACACCACTGCAGAGGGGAGAAACGCTGCACAACGGAAGCAGCCCCACGCTGGGTTCTCTGCAGGAACCACTGAGCAGCAGCTCACGCATGTGGGTACCTCCACCCACCTGCCCACCTCTGATCCAGGGAGGTCTGCTGCGTAAGCCTTAACTGCACCACATACAAGAGTTTTAGAAAGAGAAATGCCTGCAATTTGCTCACCTGGGCCAGCCAGTGCTCTTGTCTCCTCGTTCAAAAGCCCCATTTGGGGTGCTGCCCAGGCAACCCCAACTGTCTGCAGAGACCCAGGACAGGTGACACAGGCAGCAATGCAGACCAGGAAGCTGACATCTACCCCAGTGAAAGGAATAAGCAAGGACTTAATGAACCCCCTACTTTACCCTTTGCAACCAAATCTTCCCATTGCACTCAGTGGGAGAAGGATTTTCCCACTGACTTCAGGAGGGCCAGGATTTGGTCCTTCTCAGTGGGTCTACATGTGACAAAGGGTATCTGATCTGGATTGAACTGAGCATCTTGCCAAAGTCTCCTACCCCTCTGCCACTGTCACCTGCATAAGGACACTCCTGAAATGGTTTTTGACCTGAGCTTTCTGCTTTTTCCTACATGTACAGGATGCCCCTTGGTTCCCCCAGGGGATTGAGAGGACCCTCTCTGTGGGAGCTGGCAGATAGCTATACTGAATTAAATGTGGAGTGGACAGCCCTGCTGAGTCCTGCATGGCCATGAGAGTCCTCCAGAATGATGGCTCCTACAAAGACCTGTTGCTGAAGCCTCTGTTTCATGGCACTTTCTAGAGGGCTCTCGTTAGAAGATTACCTAGGCAGTTGATTGAGTGTAAAACATGCTGTACCTGCAATGTTCTCCTGCTTGGGGCAAATTCCTTTTGTAGGCGTGAGAAGACGGTCTTCTTCATCGGGTGTGACCTGGATCCCGATTTCCACTGGCTCTGACACTTTCCTGAGCTCGGCACGTGAGGAGGGGGGAGGGCTGCTCTTATCCATGCTCTTTTCATAGCAGGCACCACCAGTGCCATTGCACTGTTTTCTCTTGTGCTCTATAAAAACCAAGATGTCTCCCAGCGGGAAGTTCATCTGACACTGTCCACAGGTTAACAAGTCGGGGTCTGTCCCGCCTGCGGCGATGCTGATGCCACCCGGCTCTGCTATTGCCAGGCTTTCATCCTCGTCGGCGAGTGCCGGTTCCACATGGTCAGCCTCTGCTTTACATGGACAAGGAGAAAGAGGGAGGAAAGGGGTGAGGGGAGAAGAGAAAGAGATTGCTTTGAATGTTCACAGATTCTGAAGGATGCATCACGAGAGGCCCAGCCTCCCCGCCCTCAGCCCCCAAAAGCCAAGCTTGATTAGATCTTTCTTTTACTTTTCAGCTTTTCTGCTCTGCCAGAATGATTTCAATATATTTTGCAACCAAGCCTGCCTGAAACGAAATGGAAAGGCTGACCTGGCATAGCTTTCCTGACAGCTCCTTCCCACTGCTGCCAGCGCTGCAAGGATATCAGCAAAGAGCCATTTTGCAAATGTTCGAGCCCCGAGTCACTTTCTGAAACAGTTCCTCTCTTTTTATCCCACCTTCTCATTCCCACCATGTCTTCCAGCCATCTGGCCAATGCCCCTCCAGCAAAGCTTATGCACCCAAACCTTTCCTCTTATTTCTGAGAGGAGGAAAGCTCATGAGCAAGATCAGGCTCTCTGTGGCATGCAAAATTAGTACCACTATGTCCCATTACAAAGATACAAGCACGGTTAAATGACCACCAATTAGCAAGAATTACAGCAAACTATTTGCAAGAGTAAGGTAAGCAGGATATGGTCTCATGAGAAGTTACAGGATTTCAGAAGTGTCTACAGTGGGAAAGAGAATGAGGCACTTATTTAACATACTGGAATATTGGCTGAGCCTGAAATCTTCCACTCTATTTTCCTGATGTCAAATAACCCCACAGTTGCTATACAGATTAATAAAAGTTTTTTGTATAAATCTTGCCCATGGACCTGATGGATTTTGTACCATTTACCCCCAAACACTGGAAAAGCATTTCTGAGTGACCTGCAGCAGTTTCTAAGAAATAAGCAACTTCTCATTTCACAATTAATAAAACACAGTGTGTTTTTAATCGGTATTTAGAAGATAATTGTTACATTATAAAATAATTACAGATCAGAATCCATTTCTGGGGCGAAACGTGTTTTTTGGTTTGTTTTTTCTTGTTCTGCCGTGTAACTGCCAAATCATACAAACCTTGGTCTTTACTCAGGCAAAATTTCCACTGACTTTTGCCTAAGGCTGTTTTGCCTCTGCAAGGACTGCAGGATTTGGGCTGAACAAAACAGGAACTAACAGTATGTAAATCAGTGAGTGAGACCTCTAATCGAATCAGGATTAAAGGAATAGAAGGAAAAATGTTCTCTGTTAGCCCGAGTGGTTTGCTTATGGATTTCCTCAGGAAAACAAGTCACACAAATATCTCAAAGAAGTAAAACTGAGATAAATAGATGCTATAATCCAGATCTGGAATCTCCTCCTGGCCAAAAATAAAAGGAGTTTTGTCCTACTCTTGAAGAAACTGAAAAACAAAAAAAAAAACAAACAAAAAAAAACCAACCAAACAAAAAAACCAAAAAAAGCCCACAAAAAAATAAAAAAAAGCAAAAAGCACACAAAATACAAAACCAAAAAAATAACGAACAAAAAAAAATAGAAAAGGGGCAAGAGGTAGAAGGTGAAACGTATTACCTGGCAACAAAAATGTTTGAGCCTTGATAAAGGCAATTCAGAAAAAGAATTGCCCCCATTTTCGCCTTCCAGAATAAATAATTGATCAGTATATCTACCAGCTGTATTACAAGTTGCATCAGAGCTCACCAACAGCAAAGCAGAGAGCAGCAGCAGCAACAGTGACAGCAGAAAAGGACGGAGAACTCAGAGAAGCGCCTGAGCACAGACCATCCTGCTGGAGCAGATGATGGACACGGGAAGGCTTTGGTTTCCTAACTCACACCAAACTTAACAAATACACAGCACAATACTAGTTCTGAAAACCATTAATTACCTTTTTCCCCTTAATCTAAGTTTAAAAGGAGTTTGAAGACAATACTACGTAATTAATTCACCAATTTATGTCATGAAAAGATGCCTCCTTCTCTTAGTGAAAATGTAACCATAACCCTGTGCTGAACAGGGACTGCAGGGAAGGGAGTGGATGCCTGTGAACAGTGTGTCACGATGCAAAAGGTAATTATTTAGTGCTGCAGTTCCCTTTAATGATCTAACATTGAGCAATATTGTTTATATTGAAGAGAGCTTGCACCTTTAATTACCAATTACATATACATCATTTTAGAGCCAAAAGAAAAGGACTATGAAAAGGGTCCTTTAGAAATGTGCGTGCTATTTGTAGGAAGAATTCCTATTAAGGGGGAGCAGTGTGTCAAAATATTAAAAAAAAAAAAACAGAGAGAGAGGCACGCACAGGCATGCAGATACACATACAGGAGATGGGACAAAGAGCTGGAAAAGACAACATGAAAACAGGATCTAAACCAAGGGTCGTACGGAAATAGGGTATCAGAGGGGGAAAATGCTTGTTACCAGTTTTACCTAACATTCCCGTAGAGCCTTCAGATTAAAGTGCATCTCTTAAATTACAAAGGCTGAATTTTGGCATATATATATATGTAACATATAAAAAGAAAAGCACAGATTTCAACTTTATTGTCATTTTTACATGAGGTTTATTATACTTTTTTGCCCACTATTTAAACTGTGCTCTTCCAAAAATATAGCAAAAGTGCTGCACTTGGTAGCGGTCTTGAGCAGGCGCCTGTGGAAACATGAAGGAGGTTTGACCAGCTAAAGTGTTACGAATTCTTTCTTTTCAGTTTTACACTTCATCTGAATATTAGTTAAATCCACATATGCCTTTACGCTTACACTCGCTCACTCCCTTTCCAAGGACTCTGCAATGGCACTTTTTTAAAATAGCATCTGGTATTCCTTCATATTTTGTCTGTCGTCACGTTACCAAAAATCAGCTTTTTGTTTTCTTGCTACACCAGGCCCACATGTTTAGTAGTATTTTGGTTTCAAAATATCAAAACATTTTTTGCTATCAACTCTATTTCTGATTTGAGCTTAATAAATCATCAAGTATGAGACCAGCCATAGACCCAAGAATGCAGAAGCTGTATTACATCCCCTTATTCAGGACATGGAAAACAAACATAAAAGAATGAAAAACAAAAAACAAAATACTGAATAGATCTTCAAATGCATTTTATCCATGTCAATTTGCATTTTTTTTAACTCAGAATAAAAAAAAAAAAAAAAAGGCTTCCTATTGACAACTCAATTAAGCCATTAAAAACCTACATTCAAGTAACATTACAGGAGAGATTTAAAACCCACAAAGGAAAAGAGAGAAAAGCCTGCAAGTCCAGCCCATAACGCATCGGGTCATGCCTGGTTAATACAACAGCCAAGATCTTAGGCTGTTTAAGGAGTCCTTTAATACCAGTGGGGCAATTTAGGCCAGTCTCAATCTAAAGTTCTGACTCCATTTGTGTCTGTGGGTTTCAAATGAGTTGCTTCACATTATTTGAATTTAACTCTGTGGTTTTATTGCTGTTTGTTGGTAGCTGGGTTTGGGGGAAGGAGGGTGTTTCCTCATGAGTATTTATTTAAAATTAATTTATATTATTTTTAAGAAGGAGAGATCAGGCCACACAAAAAAGGAGGATGGAAAACATCTCATCTCCTTTACGTGGGAAAAGGAAAAAAAATGCAAACGAGCTATTTCCAGCCAGGACTCGTGCTCTGGTTCCTCCAGGTGTGTTAAGGTGTGCCTGGCATTTTCCCTGCACCCAGAGATTCCTCCAGCGACTTCTTTGGCATTGCCTGCCTAGGGAGCACAGCGAGTCAGCGATGGGCGATCTATGAGGACACGAGTGACACTGTTGTTACCAGATGGTTTCATAAAATTAATGCAACCGGACAATCTGAATCACTTCCGTTTAAAAGTACATTACACTTGTTGGCTGGACTCTAAGCAGCATCTTCAGGCTCTCTGGCTGCCTACCATGCCAAAATACAGTGGACAAACTCCTTAATTCCATAAAGGCATTGTCACAAAACCCCAGCACTCCTACTTTAGCATGGTGACATCATTAGAACATATGTGCCCCATGCAAACAATACTCTCATGCCCAGTATTAAAGCAAATGCACATGCTAACTACTTTCTGCCTGTCAGATGTCTCAAAATTCTACCCACTAATAGTGAAAAAGACTGTGTTACTAAAAATCATTTACAAATCCTCAGAGGATAGGACCATGGATGCTTGTTCACAGGGTTTGGGTGAGGCTGGATCCAGGCAGCAGTAATTTATTTTGTTGACTTTTTATTGCACTGCAGAATCAAAGAAAGAAGGGATCAAAAAGTTGCCAACCTGTTTTCTTCCTTACTTTTCCCATCCTGTGGTATCAAAAAGAGGCTGAAAAAGGGGGTAGAGGGAATGGTTTGGTGCTAGGCCAAAGCACTGCGTGTGAAACCTCCTCTCTGCAGCTGGTTGCTGCACAAATCAATAACAAGGTGGTTAAACAGAGCGCTGCCAGTGCCTTCACCGCAGAGGTGCTGCTGGGTGCCCTGCCTGCCCCAGCACCCCACCACAGTCACTGCCCATCCTCATGCCAACCTGATGGAGGAAGTGTGGGCTACCCCAGGGGCTACCCATCTCTGGGACAAGCTGGGGCAGCCCATAGTCCACCATGGGGACATGGCTCCTGCCATCCAGGCATGGGAAGCCACCTGCAAGTGTGCCACAGTGTGCCAAGTGCACCCTTCTCCACGCACAGTCACTGCTGTCTTGAAGGCACATCCAGAAAGAGCTGAGCCTAGCTGGGGAGTGAGCACAAAGAAGTGACTTGCTTTTCAGGGTGTTGTTGGGCCAAAGCAGGCCTGAAAATGATGTCCCTTCAATCAACACCCACATGTCACATTTACTGTAACATCAACATGCTTAACGGAAATAGCTCGGATCACACGCTCTCTAGCTGGGTTATCGCTGCGATCGGTGTCAGGATCCTCGCTGCACAAAGACTAACACTGCTCAAAGCGGGCAATGCTGCTCCTTGCCATCAAAGTTTATCAATAACGTGTTTGCAGAGACTGCCGCAGCTCCCTGCAGCTGCAAGGTGCAGAGTTGAGCTTATGCCTACATATTGCATCAGCATCACACTTAGCAGTTCGAGGCACCTCTTATCTGCCATTGATTTTTAATTTTTCTGAGGACTGAAAAACAATTGTTTGTGGTATTATTTTTTTTTTTTCCTAATTGAAGTCCAAGGCTGAGTTGACCAAAAGAAGCAACTTGATGGGGAAGCCCCAGAAACACGGGTTATGAGCTGCAGCTCTGCTTCACTTTCCAAGTGACTCTCAGGCATATGCGAAGTGCACAAAGGCGGCAGGAGCAGCAGCAAACCTCCGCCGCACTGCGCGTGGCCCTGCTGCAG